ACACACACACACACACAAGTACAGTCTATTTACCATTTAAGTTCCTCAGGGAAAATTAAGTAATAAGAATTGGTCTGATGGGCAAAGAAAAGAAGAAGGGCATCAGCTGCATTCGGTGGGTCACCAGAGCACAGCCTACATGTTAGTGGTACAGTGTTTTCTCCACTGGAGGGACACTCTTGAGTGCACTTGTTCGTTTGTTGTTAATCCTCTCGTCCCTCCTTCACACGTTTTGGGTAAACTAGCAGTTGAGAATAACAATAACACATGACGACTAAAAAGAAAAATACAGATGTTGGGGCACAAGTTCTAAAATAACCATTTAAACAGCACACTTACTGGAAGTAGGGCTCCTTCCTCTCTTTAAACGATGTTTATTGACAGTTCAGTCATGTCATCCCGGTGACGTTTGTTACGTTACGTTTCCATGGTGACATGCCCGACGTCTTCAGTCCACTGGCCACTTCGTCCAGGTGATAAACACTCTTCATCACGAAGAAGAGAGCCAGAGGCATGCAGGTGAGGATCAAAACAAATATAGCAAACAGCAGCAAAACGAGATTGTCCAGCGAGAACAACAGGCAGCTCCAGCTCAACTATGCTAACACCAGTTAGCAAACTTAGCTCTGTCTCTGTGTACAATTCCAGATTTTTTCACCCCATCAACCGCATTTTTCATTGTTTGGTTATATCGGCATGAGCTTCGAGTTACCGTGAAATGTACAGCATACACCCTGAGCTGCGATACGTCATATTTCTCGTAAGTATGATGAGTATTTTCTTACCTGTAGCAGCTGTTTGTCTGAGTGATATTTTCTTGCAGGACAATTGGAATTTTCTTCTTCTGTGGTGCCGGGACACCGCAGCTCCGCGCGCCACATTGCCACCTACAGGCGAACATTTGACACTAAACAGGAAGTGCAGGAAGCTGCACGTTTGTTTACAGTAGTGCAATCCAGTGAGACGTTTTGCTGAATTACAAATAAGTACAATTTATTGGCAAAGTATCAAACAGCTTCAAATCGTGATCTGAATAACTGAGCTGGCTGCATTTAAATGGACGGTGGAAGAGGAGGAAGAGGAGGGAGAAGAAAGAGAGGATGTCGTGGTGAAGAGGTGAGACACTGGAGCCCTATATATTATTTATATTGTCCCATTTCTTTGATAGGTCACAGACTGATATCTGACTCATGACACCCCTGTATCATGGCAGGCAGTATGAATTGTTAGGTATGGTAAAGTCACAGTCCTATATTTAAACCAGAGCTATAATTAGGGCCCGAGCACCGACAATGTCGGGCCGCGAGGTCCCTATTGAAACTGTAGGAATTATTATTAGGGCCCGAGCACCGACGTAGTCGGAGCGGAGGACCTATTGTTTTTCGTATGTTTATTAGGGCCCGAGCAACCGACAACGTCGGGCCTGCGAAGGCCCTATTGAAACTGTAAGGGTTATTATTAGGGCCCGAGCAACCGACAACGTCGGGCCTTGCGAAGGCCCTATTGAAACTGTAAGGATTATTATTAGGGCCCGAGCAACCGACAACGTCGGGCCGTGAAGGCCCTATTGAAACTGTAAGGATTATTATTATTCATGATATTTATTTTTGTGGGAATGGAGCTTGTAGTAGTACTTGCCATGCATGAAAACTCACCAATTTTGCACCCCTACCAGATCTGGTGTAGAAACTCTGCTGCCCTAATTTGCATATTTGTGTGTAAAAAAATGGCTCTCTAGCACCCCCTACAAGTCGGACCAGCGACGCCCCTCGGCCAGTATGTCCGATTGACTTGAAATTCGACACACATGTCCAAATCCGCTACATCTAAAAAAAAGCCTCTCAGACCCCTAAGCTCCGCCTACTTAAATTTTCCGCCATATTGAATTTAGTGTAAAACACATTTTTGCATACTCCTCCTACATGCTTGGTCCGATTACTACCATATTTGCTGTGTATCATTGCTGGATCTACGTGATCAAAAGTTATCAAAAGCTTTTTGATAACTCTTAGCATTTACAAGATATGGACCAATAAACGTCTTAGGGGCGTGGCTTAATATCAATACACATAACTTCTCAACCGTTTGTCCTAAAATTACCAAATGTGCAGCATATGTGCACATTGCAACGTGGAACATAACCTGAGAATTATTTTGCATTCAACCACTAGGGGGCGCTACAGCAAACCCGCGAAGTTGTGCTTTTTGTCACTTTTTGTCACTTTTTGCAGATTTTAGCCCTCCTACTTTAACGAACTCCTCCTAGAGATTTTAAGCGATCAACTTCTACTTTGGTCAGGATGCTCTTAAGACCTTTGTGATTAAAAGTTATCAAAATCGAGAATTTTCATCGAAGAACCTTGACGTGGCGTGGCGGCCATTTTCCCTCATTGTTTTTGACAAAATAATTTCTTATAAGTTGTTATAACTCCAAGGTACATTATCCAATCCGCACAAAACTTCTTATGCGTGATGCTACTTCAAGCCTAAACATACGTCAATTGAAAAAAATTCAATAACTCATAGCGCCGCCTACTGGCTAAAGGAAATGTCATATTTTATACTTTTCTTCATTCCTCCTAGCCAGGTGACCTGATGAGTCTCAAATTTGGTACAGATAGCCTTAAGACATTGATGATGCATTATCATGAATATTGTGCATTTTCGATTAACGCTGTTGCCGTGCCAACGCATCGTTCACCATGAAAAAGGAAGCTGATGGTTTAGTGACTTGGGATACTCAAAAACTCATGCAACTTTGTACATGTGTCAAAGGTCATTGGAAGAAATATGTTATATGATTTTTTTAATCGTCTGTTTTAAATTGCCTCTGTAGCGCCCCCTACAATATTTCAAAACAGCAGCTCCAGCGCTATGTTTGAGCTACATGTTTGAAACTTAGAAGACACGTGTATCCTATGGAGACTTAAATATAAGTCTCTTGGGACCATGCTCTAAACCCTACCAGAAGTCGGTAAATTTCATTTTTGTGTCATTTTTCAATAGATTTTGGCCTATTTCTAGTCGCTATACTTTAACGAACTCCTCCTAGGGACTTCATCAGATCCACTTTATATTTTGTCAGTACCATGTCAAGACCATTGTGATTAAAAGTTATTAAAAGCTTTACGTTTGACAGAATCGTTTAGCCGTAGCGGGCGGCTACTTTACGTGATTCCCCATGAAAAAAGCTGATGTAACTCAGCTGGACTTCCAAATGTTCCCAAACTCCACATGCTTGATAACACTCATGGCCTGATGATGTCTACAAGCTAATTTCCCCTAATACTCTAAGCGCCACCTGCTGGCGAAAGGAAATCTGCGTTTTCTGACAAACAGCATCCAATTTACATTACTTTTACACAATGTGGTTCACATTGGACACAGAGCTACATGATGCATGTTTGCACGCGTTCTGTAGCGCCAGGCAGCGGATACAGGAAGCATCGGACTATTTGCAAAGCATCATTTCCAGCATCAGGCGGTCCACGCGGGATTAAAAACGTCTCGCTCGCCCTACAAAATTTCGACGAAGCCCTCGCTGTACGTTTCACATAGATTTACAAAATTTGGTAGGTACATGTATCACATGTGGACTTAAAATAAAGTCTCTTGGGACCATGCTCTAAACCCAACCGGAAGTCAGCCATTTTGAATTTTGTATAAATTTCTCGTGTACATTGTCAAATCTGCTCCAAATCTCTCATATGTCATAACATCCTGACCCGGAACACATCTATATGATAATTTAGAATCATAGTAATAGCGCCACCTATTGGCAACTGGAAGTTGTAAGTTGTGTACTTTGACATCCTGCTCCTCACAGATTAATCAGATCCCTCTAAAATGTTGTCAGAACAGCCTTAAGACCTTGATAATGCTTCATTGTGAAAATTGTAAGAAGTTGATGAAGGGCGAGGACGTGGCGGCTCGGCGAATTTCGATCCTTCGCCATGAACGAATAAACTGATGTAATTCAACTCCACATCATCAGATCTTTACCAGATTGCACATGTTTGATTAGACTCCCGGCCTGAAGACATCTGCAGGCCAATTTTGAATCATAGTCATAGCGCCACCTACTGGTAACAGGAAGTTAAAATCATTATACTTTGGCTTGTTTCTCTTAGTAGGTAAATCAAATCAACATCAAATTACTTCCACACAAATGTAAGAAGTTCATAATACCAGTTCATGAAGCTTTTGATGTTTCGTCGAACGCCGTTGCCGTGGCGATGCAGTCTTTGCCGTTAACAACGAAGGTCATTTTGAGAGGCTAAAAATGCTCGAAACATAAGCAAACTTGGCAAGCAGATTACAAGCCCAATGTATGGAATATGATTTTATTGGTTCAGGGTGGCAAATCGGCTCAATAGCGCCCCCTACAAAATTTCGACGAAGCAGCCCTCGCAGTATGTTTGACCTAGATGTATGAAATTTGGTCGGAACATGTATCACATATGGACTTAAATAAAAGTCTCTTGGGGCCATGCTCTAAACCCAACCGGAAGTCAGCCATTTTGAATTTATTATGAATTTCTAGTGTCGTTTTTGTCGTTTCCAGGCGCTGGACTTTAACAAACTCCTCCTAGGGAATTAATCAGATCAACTTCAAATTTGGTTGGTACAGTCTAAAGACCTTTGTGATGAAAAGTTACTCAAAGCTTGTTTTGTGAAAAACTGTTGCCGTGGCGACGCATTCTTCACCATGAAAAATTAAGGTGTTTTTGAGAGGCTAGAAATGCTCGAAACATAAGCAAACTTGGCCTACACATTTAAAGCCCAAAATGTATTCATATAATATGATTTTATTGGTTCAGAGTGGCAAATCGGCTCGATAGCGCCGACTACAAAATTTCAACGAAGCAGCCCTCGCAGTACGTTTCACCTAGATGTATACAATTTGGTATGCAGATGTATCACATGTAGACTTAAAAAAAAGTCTCTTGGAGTCATGCTTTAAACCCAACCGGAAGTCAGCCATTTTGAATTTTGTATGAATTTCTCATGTTTTCTTTCCATTTCCAGGTGCTGTACTACGAACTCCTAGGGAATTAATCCGATCAGCTTAGAATTTGGTCAGAACAATCTAAAGACCTTAGCGATTAAAAGTTACTAAAAGCGTTAGGTTTCATCGAACGACGTAGATATGGTGTGATGGCCATTTTACATGGTTCGCCATCATCCATCAAGCTGTTGTAACTCGACTGTACTTTGTCAAAACTGTCCCAAACTTGACATGCTTGTTGACTGTCATGGCTTTAGGACTTCTGCATGCCAATATTAACTCATTGTCATAGCGCCACCTACTGATAAGCACGGACGTAAGCAGGATTCTATAATTACAGCGGCCCAAACACTGAACTCATTGAAAGGGTTTGTGGGCACACCATGAGAAAAAGACTTCTTTGATCTAAATATGTGCAAACTAAGATGCTTGGAGAGCAAACGTTAGATAACAGTGTCAATGGGCATTAGTATAAATGATCTGTCCAGAGCTTCTTCATGAGAATCAGGTTAAACGTTACAATGAATGCTTCACACTACAATCTAAAGTTACAGAAGAACTTAAAATGAAAACAGTGTTAAATTAAAGTGTTCAAGTAACAGCAAATGACACTACTGTTTTGTTAACTTTCATGCAAGTCCAAATACAATCAGCAGGACACTGCAGGGAGTTGAACCCCATCCCAGTAAACTGACAGTCTGTTGTGTTACAAACACTGAAGCACATTCACACACATTCATTTTCTTATTTGCGCTCTATGTTTTCAAACTCGGTCTTGGCAATGGTGAGCTTTGCCGGGTCTAGGCGCCGGGCCCGGACATGTACCGGTGGGCCGGTGGTAGAGATGTGATGCTCCACCCCATGCTTGACCGTGGAGGAGGAGAAGGTGGGCTGCGAGAGGTCTGGGAACTCGGCCAGCACACGCAGAAACTCATCAGCCACTGCAAGCATGCTAGTCAACCTGGTAGAGAAACTGCGTGCGTCGTCATCTTCTCTTCTGGGAATGTCCAGGAGAGTCAGGGTCACCAATGTAGGAGCGTGGAAACAAACGAGGAGGCGAGTATTCCCTTTGGCTGCACCTTGTGGCCGTTTATTTCCATCCATACAAAACATCATACACATTCACTTCCTGCCACCCTTTAACCCCCGCTGTCACCAGGGTTACGCCCCTTTCCTTAAAGGGGCCCCGTGAATTTGGTCGTCCCCTACAATATTATATATTTCAGTGTTACTTTCCCACCACCAGTTTACTTCTGTCAACATCGGAATACATCACAGCCTCGTGTTGACTGAAAATCACGTCAGAAAAACCTTAAAAACATCAAACTAACACAAAGAAAGTAAAGAAAAATAAATATATTTTTTGTATTTTGACTTTAGTATGTGATATTTAGTGAAGTAACTGTTAAAAATCAAACATGAAACTATAAGAACAGTTATTACAAACCACAGAGGGTGATGTTTACACAGATTACACATCTGTAATTTAAGCTGATTACATTTGACGTTATTAAATCAACATCACACTTATGGAACTAGAATGAAATATATCTTATGAACAGTGTAGATGTTTTCTACTCAGCTGTCTGCTCGCATAGATTCTGTTCATCTACTTCACTGATTCTTTAACTGCTCTGCCAAATGCTGCTAGTTTACCACGCATGTATTGCAGCACTGATTTGGTTCCTTTGTCTTCGTCCATTCGACGTTTCATCTCCTCCAGCTTCTGGACCTTCTCTGTGTCTCCTCTCTCCTTCATCTTCTCCATCAGGAAGTCCACTTGCTCATAAGTGGACAGTGGGTTAACATTCAGGGCGATCTGCTCCAGTTTGACAACATGCTGAAAGGACTCCTCAAACAGCTGATCTTTTCCTCTCTGAAGTTCTTCCTTTTCTCTTTTTAGATTTTCCAAAAGGCTTGTGGACTTCTTACCATCTGCTTTACCCTTCTCATACTTCTGTTTAATTTCTTCTACGGTCTTTGTAACTCTCCTCGTCTTGGTAACATAGACCTTTTTCTCTTTCACATGATCTGATACAGGACACTTCCCGCTACATGAAGTACAGCGGCCAGCTTTCATGACCTCACAGCTTACTGCATACCAGGCCAGTGTGCATGGATAGTGACAGTTCTCCTGGCAGACATTACAGGTGACAGCTCCTCCATAATTCATCCATAACCCCCACCATCTCCTCTCACTGACATTTTCTTGTTCTTTGTAGGGCTCATCAACCTCTACAGTGAACTTCTCATTGTTCTTCATCTCTTGTTCTTGTTGCTTCAGAGCTTCCTCAGTCTGTTCGATTTCTCTCTCTTTCAGTTCAGTCAACTCGATTCTCTCTTGCAGGTTTTGGACGCAGGCTGTTATTTGAATGTGTAAATTCAACACTTCAGTCGTTGTTATCAGGTTCCGAGGTTCACCTTTCTTCAGGAATTCAACAAATTGACCCATTTGGTCCATTGTTAAGACCCATGCACTTTTTAAAGCGAGCTTATCTTTTTTTGTTTTCAGTTTGGTCTGGCGGTTATTGAACATGAAATGAACAGGCTCATTGTCTTCATCTCTGGCACATTTGATGTTTGCATCCTCGAGGGCTTGTAGAACATTTTCAGGTGTCACACCGTCTGAGTGTGTGATGAGGGCGACAATGTTCGTCTCCATGTCTTTTCCAAACAGAGACATCACTGAATTAAAGATGTACCTCAGTCGGTCATTCAGTCGATTCTCGCCTGCTTTCATCACCAGACCCACCGCGTTGATGTCATGCACTCCATCATTTGAGCGGAACAAGTCCAACAATCTTTGACCGACTATTACATCTCTTTCAGTCCCTTCGATGTCTCCGTATCCTGGAGTATCGATGATGGTCAGAGAGAATGGCAGAGTTTTATCTTCAAATCCAAAGATCTTGTACATGATCACATCTGACGTCTGACTCTCTGATTGTTTTTTCTTCTCTTCCTCTACGATCTGAAACCAGATATCGTCCGCCCACTCCACTCCCATGGCGAAGTTGACCAGAGCGTTGATCAGAGTAGATTTTCCGGCTCCTGTTTCACCGACAAGTAAAATGGTTTTGTTTATCTTGCTCAGATCTTTTTCACCAAAAGTCATTCTTGTCAGAGTTCCAATGTTGTCTTTCTTTGATCTCAGCTGGTAGACGGTAGGAGATCCTTCACGGATCACATCACTTTTTGAGATGATGTCCTTATATTTCCATGAGGCATTAGTAATCCTGTAGAGAAATAAGAACTTTATTTAAATTCCATGTACACACTTGAATGTTATGTATATAATTTTCCCTTTCTCCTTGTTGTAGGAAATTTAGGTTTAGAAGTGTGCTTTAAGATTTATAACTAGAAGTGTGTTTTAGAATTTATAATTAGGTATGTCTTAAGATTTATGATTAGAAGTGTCTTTTAGGATTCATAGTTAGAAGTGTTTCTTCGTAGAATTTGTAGCACCTTAGCTATACCAATTATGCTTGTGAAGTTTTTGCCAAGAGTTGCAAATCCTTATCTTTATATAGTATGTTTACAGTATGTTTACCATAAGAAGTGTTAAGCCATAAAAGACAGTCATTGAATGTGTGAACAATAGTCAAGGGTCAGACAGGCATTTAGAGGGACAAGCCACACCCGTGCGAGGGTCCTGCGAGAAGGAGGAGTCAGCTGGATTTAGCCAATAGAAACTAAGACGGACATTTGGTGCGAGCTATGAAAGGAAATGCAAAAGAAGGATTCGCGCTCTTTCCTCGCGTTTCATCGTGTGGGTATGGCTGCTTTTCCACGCGGATCATATTTCTGTGTCGATGCTGTAAATATATATCTATAGATACTGTAAATAGTGTACTTCACTTTGCAATTGTTTTAGCTTCTGTAGTATTAAATGCTTTTGATTATAATTGAAACCGGCTGAATTTTTGGAAGAGGCTGGATCATGTGCGGTTTCTCCACAGTTGAGAGGTTCATGAACCTAACATTTTACACCTCAAATGCATAATTTTGATTTTTTGTTAAAAAGCATAATCAAATCCAATAAAACTACATTTCTAATTACTTGTTTGAACTAAATGTTGCAGCCATACGCTAAAGGTGTATGAGTCTTGTAAAAGCATTCAAATCAGTTTACATGGTTTTGAAAAGGACTCGAATGCAGAGAAGACCAGAAGTTGAGTGAAGCAGGTATTTCATGGATAAAGAAATCAGAACAGGAACACAAGAGGGAATCCACAGACGAGACAAGAGACGAGGGGGAAAATCTAGCAGAATGAGGCAGGGCGGGGAGACCAGGAACAGGACAAGGCAAACGGGCGGGTAGACATGACAATGATCTGGCAGTGAGTGACTGAGAGGCAAGGGTTTAATTAGTGATGCAGCAGATTGAGCAGGTGAGAGTGATGAGCTGATGAGGTGGGTGTGACTGTCAGGTGCACTGAATGAGCTGATTAGGTGAGTGAGAGATGGAGAAAACAGGATAATGGTGGCAGAGCTGTGACAGACAAGGCTAGTCTATTTGTTGGCATGTTTTTATACACACAGATCAAAGCCAAATGTTAAAGAAGCCCAGTCCTGTGGCTGTAAGCTCCTGAGGTGTCTTTCCCTCTGGAGTAACCTGGTTGACGCACTCGTTGTAGGCTAGATTATCTGTGATGCGTGTTGCCTTCGATACATCGTCACAGAGACGTTTGTTTAATGATATATAGCTCATTTATTCTCGTTGTTGTGGAACAACGTACAAAAATAGTCTCATTATTTCCACCGACAGTAAATGTACAGCGGTCAAAACCTTTTTGCCCTTCCGGGGTCAAACACCTGACAACCATGGCGATTTCAGGACCTATATACCTGAGCCCAGGACATCAATACAGCACCACCCAATGTACACACAAAGAAATACAGTTGTATTTACGACACCATATTTGGCTCTAACACCAAACAACAGTCAACACCGTTAAACGTTCTTCTCCATGCTTAACCATCTGCTCCTGGTCATAGACTCACTCTCGACCAGTTACCAGCACAAACAGCAACCTCCCCCCTCACTCTCTCTGCCAATCCCAGGTACGCTAATGTGTGCCACCCCCCCAGGTAGTTACGATGATTGACAGGTTTTACAGCTTCACAGGGCATGAGGCCTTCACTGACCTCCGTAAATGCAATAACCAATCTTAGATAACATCTTAGAACAACTTCGTTCTGTAAACACACTAACACCTACATAACAGGTTAACATTATGTCACTCAGTCCGTTACAATATTAACTTTATTTATAGATCACCTGTAAAAACAGAGTTCACAAAGTGCTTTGATGGACAAAGCACTGTAATAAAACAAGAGAAAGCTCAACAGTGCGGCCCAACAAAAGCAAGGCAAGCTCAGGTGAAGCTGTTGGGTGTCAAGATGGCACTGAAGGAGAGCAGCAGCTGTTTGTGGTCAGAACACAAGAAGCTGGAGTTCATCAGTCCGCTGGAGACTGTGGACGACCCGGCTCTGTCCTTTTCTTTAACTGCTTAAATGTATCTCTACCTCATCACTCAGATGTATCGTCATGTGTCTGTAAGTGCAGGCTCACCTGCCTCCCTGCTGTGATATCTGTATGGACTCTGACTCCTCGTCTGCACTGCATATATTAATATATTATTTTTACACATTGTGTTGATGCTACTCACTTTGTTGCCATGGTGATGTCTGGTAGTGAGGGCTTCACACAGTGAGGTTGAAACAGGTGTTTAATGTCTGGATGAACAAACAGAAAAACAAAAACCATAACTTACTGAGCTTTTATACACAATAACAACAATGAATGTGATGTCTTGTCTCTTTAGGTAGCATTCAGTCTTCATGTTAATCTGCATTAATAAATACATTTTGTAGGAAACATCACGGTGACTGGATTATGATTTTACTGTACAACTTTTGAGAAAATTAAAGGCAGAGTGACATTTTGATATTCATCATTTCCCTATATTTGACATTTTATAAAAATGAATCCTTAAGAGGTTATGTCAATATTTCAATGGATTGTTGTTAATGACGACCCTCACTATGGACATGAATATTGTCTTAAAATATTACTGTACAGTTTGAGAAAATTAAAGGCAAAATCAGCTCAATTTACATTCATTTTTAGAATGTTCCTATATGACAGGTTATAAATACACATCCTTAAGAGATTACAAGAAACTTTTCTGCCAACAGAATTGCTGTCATATATTGTGCAGTTAAGCCTTGATAAAGACATGGCAATGCTTTACTTGGACCATGACTTTGACCGTGTCGTTAGTATGATGAGGCTCTACAAATCTGTTGGACACGGAAGTGGTCTTGCAAAGAGACTAAAGGAGCTATTTAGTGAAAATAGCAAGTGGATGATGTCCTGGGTACTGCCTAGGAATATGGGCTGTGGCCAATTTAAAATCCTGGACATTTTTTGAAAGACACAGCCTTAACTCTTGTGTTTATGGTTACAGCAGCTTCAAGTGTGTTTGTAGTTCAATGTACTTAAGCATTTAGAAGAAAAGTGTTTCTTAGACTATCTGTGGCTAGCTGTCTGTGTGAATGCTGGTAAAGTTCTTGCCACTATGGCTTCTTCATGAGTAGATTTTGTTAGTTAGAACTGAATCGTTTGTATGTTTGAAAATATATTGTTAAGCTATATGCTGTGCTTGCTTTTTACCTGATGGCTTATTTAAAAGAATTGAGTCACTTAAGCATGACAATTAAAGATAAATCTTTATAGCAATTGCAATCATTTTGTCTGTCTTTCTATGCAGTACAATTGAGCCTAATCATGATTGCATAAAGATAGAGCTGTGTTTGTGTTTTGTGTGTGTGTCTGTATGTAGGTATGAGTGTGTACCCTTTGATGTTTGTGTTACAACAATCTTTTTTACAAAATGGTAAATGTATTACCCTAAGAATGTTTTTTTAAATGCGGGTTTTATTGCATGATCAAGTGAAACTGTTACAATTTTTACAATTTTCACGAGACAACATTAAGTAAATGTAAAAATGTTACTAATGGGCTAATTTGTTAAATTCCAACACATACAAACAGAACTGATATCCAGGAAAAACATCTGAGAAAACAGCCAAGACGAGGATGTTCCTTCTGCTCCTACCAGCTGTTTTTTTTTGTTATCTACCTAAATATTCTATTTTAATTCATATTGGAACACCTAACATGGCCTTTGGGACAACAAGAAAAGAGATGGTGCAGGAACGTCGACACATGGCACTTAAAATACTTGAAGCATCAGGTGTGTGACAGCTTTTCTTCATATTTATTTATACTGTGATATTGTACTACTAAAGATCTAAAATGTTACTTTATTTCTAAATTAGTTTTTGACATCTGTGCCATGCGTTCTGCCACAAAGCCACCCACTCCAGGACCTGCTATCACTGAATGGGTAAGGTGTTGTTGTAATTAATTGTATTTGTGCATTTGTTAATGGATTGTACGAGCTGTGACCATGACAATAACAATGTCCCATTTGATTAAATGACGAAAACAATTTCAAAATTAAATAAAGTTTGCTTTTGGGGTGAATTCCTGTTTGAAGTCTGTCTTTCTAAAACTAACTTGTTTCAATTTTTATTTTTTCAGATTCAGTGTGACAGCTGTAACAGATGGTTCCATGCCGATAGCCTGCAGATGGAAAAATCCCTGCTTTTAAAAATAAAAAACAATGACTTGAAATGCTGTTTGTGCAACAATTGAATCCACATACAGTATTTGTTATGTTTTTTGTCTCTTTTTATATGCCCCCTCTCAAAAACTGTACAGCAGTGTAATATCAGATTTTATTATTGTTGTATTTCATATAATGTACAAAATGACGTTGTTTTTGACTTGTTATATCAAATTGGGCAAATTATACAGGTCTATTTCCGGGCTTTTTGGGCTATCCAAGCACCCGTACCGTAGCACCACGAATAGACGAGCATTACATTTCAAGTGCCGGCACAGGCTGTGCGGCTGACGTGACCGAGGTTCCGCGGATAACGGACCACTTGACCGCAGTCCACAGACACCCCAGGACCCCCTGTGGCTCAGCCCTGTTTCCACAAAACTCTCTTTCATCCTCAACTCTTTGTCATTCCATGCGATTCATTCCGCAAGTAAGGAGGCAAGGACACGTTTCTGTTTTTAGAAGAAACGCTGGGTCTTCAGTTTCATATTCGCTGGACGAATAGAGACTTTTTCTCTAGTTTTTGTTTCAGTTCCTGAGAAATGAGAAGCGGACAATTTGTCTGCAGAAGTCAAGAAAACGATTCTTCAGGAAAGAGAAGGGCAGATTCTCTTTCTTATCAAGTCGACTTTGTGCCGTAAGGACGATAATTCCCTCACTGAGCAGAAGACATTCTTATTTAGGGTGTCTGGGCTCACATTTAGCTCATTGTGTTTATTATCTTCTTTGTGTTTTGCGTAAGTTACTGTATTGTTAAAACGGTGACATCATTGAAAAGTACAGAACCGGGTTCTGCGTGATTTATTCACAGTTTCCGTATTCCACGGCTGCGGTGAGGTTCTGCCCCTGCCTTTTCTTTTTTCTTCCTCTTCCACTGATTAACGTGCTCATTAATATTCTTTCAACAACGATAGTTACTCTGCTCGTAATGCAGTAGGTTTGTGACAAATACATTTAGTATTTCATCATTCGTGTGTCAAGGTGTGTTCTTACCTGAGTTGTTGGTCTCTGATGATAAAGAGGAGGATGAAGAGCAGAGAGTTTATATATCAGAGAGGCGGGATGCTCTGAGGTCACATGATTTCACTGAAACACTCATTCTCTGAAGTCACACCGGTTCTCTGAAGTCACACCGGTTCTCTGAAGTCACACCGGTTCTCTGAAGTCACGTGACTTTGTTTATTTCAACTAGAGCAACTTTAACCAACAAGGAAATTCAAAGAGCTTTGAGACAAAAAGGTATTTAATGAAAAATAAACATAGAAATAGAAAAAAAACAATATTAAAAGACTCACATGAATAGAATTTTGAAAAAGTAAAACTACATAAAATAGAAGAAAAAAATTGTGAAAGTCAGATTAAACAAAAAGAAATACTGTGAATTCTCTGTGAGTTTTTGTTTCATATTTGTGGATCATAAAAACTGTGAATAAATGCTGCTTCTCCAGATAAAGTCTAAAGTGTGAACATATGTCATACCCCTGCAGATTAACTTCAATTCAATTTATTTTATTTTGTATAGCTGTTAGAAAAATTCTACTCGACATCAAGTGTAAAATCAATTAAAGCTGAAAGCAGCGATGTACGGGCCCTCGCACCTTCCCGCGTCTCGGGGGTGGCCATAAATATCTGCGACCATCAGACAGCGCGCCCACAAGTTAGACGTATTTTTAATGCTTGGACTGTGTGACGCTGGAAATGATATAGTGCAGATATTCCACCAGTTCCTGTATCCACTTTGTGGTGCTAGCTAACGCGTGCACACATGCATTATGTTGCTCTATATCAAGTATAGACCACATCATGTAAATCGGATTCCGTTTGTCACATAACGCTGTCTTCCTGTTGCCTTGTTATTAATAATAAACATTAGAATAACAATAGGTCCTCCGCTCCGACTACGTCGGTGCTCGGGCCCTAATAATAATACATTTTATTTATATAGCGCTTTTCATTGTACTCAAAGACACTTTACATTAAAATCATCATATATAAAAGCAATACACTAAAAACATAAAATACACAATAGTGGTCACACATTGAAAGCAGTTTTGAAAAGGTGGGTTTTGATTTGGGATTTGAATATAGAAAGGTCAGTGCAGTCTCGGATGTGTTTGGGGAGAGAGTTCCAGAGGGAGGGGGCAGATATGGAGAAGGCTCTGTCGCCCCATGTCCGGTGCTTGGTCCTGAGTGGAAGAGACAGGAGGCATTAGAGGAGCGGAGCTGACGGGATGGAGTGTGGTGGTGAAGCAGGTCGGTGAGGTAGGAGGGGGCCTGATTGTGGAGGGCTTTATGAGTGCATAATGCATGTTTGCGCGTGTTCTCTAGCGCCACAAAGTGGATACAGGAACTGGTGGAATATCTCCACTACATAATTTCCAGCGTCACACAGTCCAAGCATTAAAAATATGTCTAACTTGTGGGCACGCTGTCTGATAGTCGCAGATATTTATGGCCGCTTCTGCCGGCGTCCCGCCAATACCCCCGAGACGCGGGAAGGTGCGAGGGCCCGTTCATCGCTGCTCGCAGCTTTAATTAGATCTGAATTTGAGTGTGTGTGTGTGTGTGTGTGTGTGTGTCTGCTTTGATTGACGCCTTCTCCCCTATAAGGACAGAGATGTCCGCCTGTCTAAAGCCATGTCTTATGCTCTTCGCCATGGAGCCAACCAGATGGGTCTTCAAATGGGTACAGGTAAGCTGCTCACTACCTGGTCCAGGTAGCACAAGTGTCCCTTCCCTGATACTTTCACAAATTCTGACACAACTTTGTTAGCATTACAAGTGTGGACCTGGCCTGGTTCAAACTGACAGCTATAAAACTATATTGAAAATTATATATTTGGCTGCTTCATTTGAATAAATCATGTTTACCCACTCAATAGTCAAAGTACCTTATAAAACCAAGGCGATAATGTGATTAAGGCTTACTTTTCTGGGCTTCTGCAAACCCAACATCTGTATGCTCAGTTTCACAAAATGCTTGCATACCGTAAATGTAATTCAATGCAGCGTGCAGGGCAAAGAGTTAAGTACAAGAGAGACAATGCATTGTGGAAATGTGACCATAGTCAACTGCTATCCTCATAGATGGCCTCATGTTTGTGGAGGAACTCTTGGCTCACCCGCAGTTCCGCTCCTACTCATTGGAAGATGTCGAAAGAGTCGTGGCCACCAATGAAAAGCAGCGCTTTAAGCTTTGCCCCCACCTGGAGGATGGCCGCCTGCAGATTCGAGCCAGTCAGGGCCATTCATTACAGGTATATCTATATTTAATTTATATTTAGTTTCATCAGCAAAACCAGCATGCCAGGATGTATTATCCCCATGAGTAGATTCTATATTCAGTATACTCAATTTACACCAAAATTGCTTCGAGATAGAAACATTTACTTTCTCGTGGACAAGCTAACTTCAATTTCAATGACTTCAATTTACTTCCTTCAGAAGGAAAATTAACTCTGAGTGCATTCAAATGTAATAAACCAATTTACACCTTCAAAATATAAATGAAATTTTCAGATGACAGAGACTGTTAGTCCTCTGACAATCAGTCTAAAAGGGAAATATAATATTCCAGTCCTATAAATCGTTGCTAGTTGAAGGTACAACAAGAACATTGGGGAATAACACCAACTCTGGTGCTAACATGCATCTTCAGCTTTGATTACATTGACTTCATTTGATTGTGTTGTCTTTTTTGTCGTGCGTGGGATGTACAAACCCTCATTGGTCTTAAATTGTTATCCTGATAGTAGTTTGATTACAAGATCGTAACAAACAGTTAAGCAATGCGTTCTGATACCACTTAGATTCCTCTTCAGGCAGGTTAGTTATTTTCTGTGTATTAGCACTTATTCTTGTCAAAAGAAAACACTTCCTAAATACTGTGTTAACTCTGGTTGCATCGCTGTGGTCAGGTAACGGATTTGGAGCTGAAACCGGTCCTGGCTGGTTCTCCAGACTGCCCTGCTGAGGCCGTCCATGGCTCCTACCTCCGCAACTGGAGCTCCATCCAGCAGCAGGGCCTGAGCCGCATGAGGAGGACACACATCCACCTGGCACCGGGCCTGCCAGGGGAGGAAGGCGTCATCAGCGGTAAGATGTGTGTGTATGTATGTGCGTGTGTCTGACGGAGAGAAGTCATCTGCACATTTAGACTAATGGGTGTCATTCATTTTTCCACCAGGCATGAGGAAAGACTGTGATCTCGCTGTGTATATTGATGTCTCCAAAGCTCTCGCTGGTAAGCTCAGCCACTAATGACTGCTACTCATTACACTTGATTCAGTCTGTATGATTAGGCAAGAATCTCTCTTATATGTTTTGTGTGTGTGTATCTGTACAGACGGCATTGAGTTCTTCTGGTCAGATAACGGTGTGTTGATGACTGCAGGTGACGCGGAGGGAAAACTTCTCCCTAAATACTTTAGCCGAGCCTTAAAACTGAGACCTACAAGTAAGAAAAACTATCACATGGATTCACTCAGTTTAGATTCTTTTAAAACTTGGATCCAGAGCCATTTACGTCACTAAAGTCACTTTTTTCCTGTGTTTCAGTGAGCATCCTACCACTGCAGTAGCATCAGAGGATACTGCTGAGTCATTGGTCATAGCAGGACTCATCTGACTGTGCTAGCATCCCATGGTTGGTTGATGCTTATCCTAGGTCCCTTTGTATCATCCGAAATGGGACTAAATTGCTAAACTTTTCATTTTTGTGTCATTATTGAAAGCATCAGGACGGCTTTAAGGAGGTATATTTTATTTTATATGACAAATCAATCAATTTATGCTGGCAATATATGTATAAGTATAGAGGCTTTTTTTCCCCTCCTTTGTATTCTAAGTGCTAAATAAACTATGGCAGACATTGACAACCAAGATAATTTCACCATAAGTTGTAAAATATATAACTCTTGTTGCAAACAGACTGCTAGCAACAACCGGCTGGGCCTTTAAATGTCGTTTGAAGACGTACTGTGTGTGTGGATAGTCACTTGACTGATATAGGAATGCAGAGGATACAGACACTGTGGTTTTAGTTAACGGATTACTGTAACTGTTAACTGTAAGATATGGACACACACACCCACACCCCCACACCCACACACCCACACACACACACACACACCCACAACCCACACCCACACACACACACACACAGCATGTGAGGGGAGATAAATGGTTAGAAGCTTCCTGGTAAGGAAATAACAGAAATTACCACCACATATCACGAACCATAAGGAGTGAAAAAAACACAGGATGAAAAGTGAATTGCTGTATTTATTTTAATAAATGTTTGTTATCTATACGTTTATTTGCGTTTTTCTACTATTTGCTGTTGATTCTTGGCTGTGATAATGTGGCTGCTGGCAATAAGTCTGCAGCTCTGGACAAAGCAAAGCTTTTTATCCTGTGCGACAGCAAGTCCACATGCAGTGAAGCGAAACAGAAAAGTTGGTGCTGGCTGATGCAACTGTCGATTTTACGTTGCCATGAGTTTGAGTTTCAAGCCTGCTGATCCAGGACCTGAGGTCCAGCAGTGTGGCCCAGCAGCGGTCCATCCTGAAGGAAAGGGGAAGTCAGCATGAGGACCACCGGAGTCTTGAACTGTCTGACCATGTTATCCACCCACTGATAGATTATGAGAGGGTGTGTGTGTGTGTGTGTGTGTAACAAAGACTATATAAAAACTTGGATAGACTGACCAGGTCGGTTGTAACACATTTACACAAGTAACGGATTCTCTCATTTTTTTCATTTGTTCTGCAGTTGTGATGTTTTTGCCGTAGCCTGAATGGAACGTAAAATCCAATTCCACGTTTTTCCACAGTTGAGACACACCAGGAGATCTGATGTGGGTTTTTTTCTTTTGTGATTGTGTGTTTTAGTCTCAGAGAGCATCATGGCCACCGGTCAGCTTGTGGAAGAGCTCCTCATTGAGCGTGTCGCTCTTTGCACGACTGCGTGTCGACATGAAAATGTAGCCTCCGATAAACTCATGAACGATTTTGCAGTCGGCAGTCACGCAGGCAAAAGCAATGTTGATGTTGCCTTCAAACTCTATGGCCACCTGGAGGAAACACAGCAATAGAAGAGCAGATATGAGATTCCTTTGAGATAAAAGGTACATTAGGGTTTCCTTTTAAAGATCAGCTCTGCACTGTAAGAACTGTAACACTTTATGGTAGGTCACTCTTGTACATCGGCAGCCTGGTTTGAGGAATACTTTGTGCATAGCTGGAGGTCATGCTTTTTGATTTCCAAAGTTTTACCTTTCCTGAATTCACCTGTTTTGACCTTGTGTTAAGTTTTAACAAATGTTTTGTAAGATATCCTTATAAGCAGAAGAAACACGCCTGGGAAACCTTAGCTAAAAAAAGAACTAAAGAAACTTTGTACGGCCTCTTAAGCTAATTCACAAATTCCTAGAAACAAATGTTTAGACCTTGCAGACTGCTCGCTCAGACAGAAGTATTGTTGTCACCTGTCGTATGTCCCAGTTGACGTTCCACTGCTTCATGTTGTTGTAGCGCCAGGTCTTAACCACGTCACCCACGGCCAGGTCGATGCGGATCAGACGGTTGGGAGCAATGCCCAGTACCTCGTCTTTTCGACTGCCCTTAAACCTGTTGGGCAAAAACATCTTCAGCTTCTTTCCTCTAAAGACGAAAGACAAACTTTAATCCTTAAAAACTTTGTGACACTGACTTGAGTGCTTTCTGGATCAGAGTTATGTCTGACTGGGACTTGTCTTGTGGACTGGGACTAGAACAGCTACGGTTTTTTGATAGGAACTCAAAACATTTTTTAAAAACAAAATATGTTTTGAGTTCCTTAATTTAATTTCTTAAAACTTAATTTCTGCCTGTGGACTTTAACAGTAATCTCTACATTTATGTTGCGTTAGAGTTACACTAATATTTTAACATTGATCGCTCTAGTTTTCCGTCTTTGCATGTTGACAAAATGGTCCCAAATTAATGCTAGCTGGCATTCAATCATTTCTGAAAAGCTTCAAATTGAACTTCAAACCTGACAACCACGTATGAGAGCCCAAAGTCGGGCAGGGCTTGCCAGATCTGCAGGAAGCGCATCACTGCATCTGTCAGTGAGAGCTGAGCCACGTTCTGGTAGGCGTCCAGGATACGAGGGGTCAGCTGGAGGAGCATATGCACAGGGTAAAAGATCAGACGTAATTATATTTTTGCTGCCTCATGCACAAAGTGGGCAGGAGATTCAGCTGCAGAACTGCTCAATTGTGCAAAATCACTGTGATTAATGATTAAGTTCATTCTAGCTGCAGATTTGGGCCACTGCTGAATGTCACGTTCTGTACTCAGTAAAAGAGAGATTGGTGCGATCGAATAGTTCTGTACTCTAGCTGCCTCCTGATAAATGATTACATGTCCTATATGCATTGTTTTGTGTGCCTGTTCCACCTCTGCTGCACCTGTTTGGCTTTGTACTTCTTATGGTAGCGTGGCGACACCAGACTGTGAGTGTTGATGCCTTCATCGTTGGTAGGTGCGTTGCCATGGGAACCGGAGCTGGTCTTTTGCATCGCCAGGAAGGAGCGGATGCTCTGGATCTCATTCTGGAAACTGCTGTCGGCCAGAGTCTTGCCTTTGGAGGCCAGTCGACATCCAGCCATCCACTGAGCATACTGCTGCTCCTGGAGGCCGAGAGACCAACACACAGAGCAGAGAGAGAGAGTAAGACTCATGAGGTTGTGGTCAGCGAGGTGAGATAAAGACAGAGGTGTTGAAAGTGAGGTGGTGGAAATGACAGGATGTCACCTATCCACACACGTGTCCTCACGTTTTCACAGCGCAGATAGAGCTCATTCATGCCCTCAGGCGCTGGTATCAGGAGTCTGATTAAGAACTTCTGTGCCGTCACGTTGACGTCCGGAGCCACCTCACATCCTGTGTGCAGGAAAAATATGACATTTATGGGTTGGACATAGAAACGAAGCAAGACCACTAAGCCAGGCTTCCATGAGATTTTGAATATACGGTCCATGACGAAGCCTGCTGAGTCACAGTTAATTTTCTCTATTTATGCTGTCAACTGCATTAGTGTTATATTTGTTTTTATTAATGCTTCATTTCCTCTTTGAACCCAGAATCCAGTGTTCCTTCAGTGGTTTATAGTACTGATCTAGGATTACCAGTGACTTCATTAACTTCTCACAGACTGAGGAGGAAAACAGACTTGAGAGCAGCACTCTCACTTTTTACCATATAAGAAAAGCACTGTTTGTGTGTGTTTATCTTTTCTTGTAAGCATGACATTATACTGTAGCATGTGGCCATTTCTAAGCAGAGATGATACACAACAGGTTGCTGAAATATGACATTGGCCACTAATTCGTACAAACCTATCGATAGCTGATGATACATTGGTGAAATAGCACAACATATCTTAATAATGAAAAGTGTAATAATATACTCAGTACCTTTGAGGTTAATCTGTTGAATGGGCTCTCCGATGCTCTCCTCTTTGCTCTTGAAATAAGAGATGGAGGTATCCTGGAACTTGAACCAGTACTGCTTATATCCCTTTAGAGTCAGCTTCTTTGGCCTGAAACATGCAATCACATTGCTCATGTTATCTACTTAAAATCTTTTTATTTTTCAGACAGTATGTGCTTTGTCTTTTTTAACTCATCACATCAAAGACAGAAGAGGCCAACATCTGTTATTGATGCCGATGGGTGGTTGGAAAGTGAATGTCACCTGAATATCTTCAGGTAGTCGTTGAGATCCGGTGCGGTCATGTTTTCCTGGATGAAAGACAAAGTTTTTCAGTGGACTAAAGAGTACTCTTCTCTTGCCTTCTTCTGAAATGCTTTTTTGTGGATTATTTTTGGTTCTTTATGTATGTTTTGAAAAAAAAAACATGTAAATGAGAAAAAGTGCTGAAACACTTAGAGTCTGTTTAAATCATTACATAATTTACTTAAATTATTACACATCTCTGACTGTCAAAATATGAGATATTAAAATGATTAAGATTAAGGTAAGATAACATCCAATATGTCTGACCAGCATCTCGGACGCGGAGCTGCTCTCTCCCTCCATCTTGACCTCCAGGGACTGCAGGGCAGACTCCAGGTCGTCCATGGCTGCACTGGAGCTCAGCATCTGGGGCTCCGACTGAGTCACCTTACTGATGTGGTACTACAGGAGTTTGAGTGTCAGAGAGAAGAATATGTACTGGGTGTTAAAGGAGAAAAACAACTCAATATGTATGTGATTGTATCATCTGGATACTTTTTAAAATATCAGTTTTAAAAGGAAGTTTATAGCTTAAAGTCTTTAGCCAAAGCAACTGAGTGGGAAACTCATTTCATGTGGTCTGGTAATATCTGCATATAAATATCATACAAGTCTAATTTGAGACCTGTATGATACACAGTATTGTGGCTTAGAATGTAAATGTACCTGTATTTGATCAAATAATGTAGTTTAGATTAGGTGGCATTAAATAAATACATTTAAAGACAAACTGCTTAAGTTTTGATGCTTTTTGACATCTGGTTTGTCAACAACCTTTTTGTCAACCTCTTTGGAGTTTCTAACCCCGAGATGCACTCATTTAAATTGTATTAAAAGATTTTTGACCCGTCAACCTAACTTTAAAATTAGTAATCACATGTCTTTGACAATATTCACATATAAATTTGGTAACATTATATTTCCTGTAATATGTGACATTTAAAGAGTTTCATGTTTGAGGAAATACCCACTTCCTAAACTTTATCTTTGTAACATGCTGATTTCAGTGTTTGCATCCCTGTTGACAGATATGTTCCCATGTCAGCAGCAGTGTCTTGTACCTGTAGAGCTCCAAACAACATCATCTCCTCCTCGGTGCAGTCGATGTCCTCTAGCAGGATGGCCCAGCGAGCCTGCTCATACAGCTGGGCCAGACGCACAACATCATACTGCACGGCCGGAGAAAGAAATCAAGAGAGGAATGAAATACCAGACACACATACTGTCTCTATAAAAACAACATGGACACACACACTCACACAAACCTTGGGATCTATATCATAGAAGGAAAAGTATTTAAAGCGAAGCCAGACTCTGTCATTTTCTTGGATTCCCTGCTGCATGAGACAACGGGATGAGTCCAACCACCTGAGAGGAAAAAGAGAATAAGTATATGTTTATGAGTTTATATGCAATGCACATACACTATATATATACTGGCCAACCCATGTGAGTGCAGGATGATCTGGTAAAAACTGAAAATGATGTTGAGTAACCCAACTTCAATTATCAAGACCGTGGTAAGTGGTGACAAAAGGAGCACATTTGTCAACAAACAATAGAGTTCCCAGCAATATAGATTAAAAAGCTCTAACCACTGACACAACATGCATGCCTCATGGGTAATTGGTTTGCAAGCTCTCGTTCTTCCTGAGAAGTCTTAATTAGCCAAACAATAAGCACCTGTGTGAGCTGGATACTACAGTGCTCATTCTGACAAAAAAGGAGAACTTAGCTGAGATTTTTACTCTGTGGGTGACCACAGCAGAACCTAAACAAGATGATGTTATTATATGTGTATCCACAGACTGTTGTTGATCTTGACATAAAGGAGACGTTCATCATATGTGTGAAGGCATACCTGCCGTTGATGTGTGCCTTGTCCACCACACTGGCCGCGCGGTACTGCTTGGCTATGATCTCGGGGGCGGGGGGAGGCTGGGTGACTGACAGCATCTTGTAGACGGCCTCCATCTGAGGTGAGTCGGCAAAATGAGCAGGCATGCCATTATACAGACAGGGCCGAGATGCTGCAAAGCAAGCGTAGGAGGGTTACAGTCAAATTTTCCAAGGAAGGGATTTTGTAGAGAGCCTGACCTCTCTCATAATTTGTCTCACTTTCTGCTTTAAAATGCACAGTACCTGCTGAAGAAAACAGTCAGATGAAAATGGCTTTTGGGTGTATTTTAAACTTGATTAATCTTCTCCACCAAGCTTCAGGTCTACCTTTGGATGATTTACAGGTAGACTCTCTGTGTGTATCAAGCATTTTGAGTAGTACTGGTCTCAGACCCCATCATCATCAGAGGCCAAAATGACTCCAGAAATGGCAAATATTGTTACCAAATGTAGTCAATCTGATTTGCTATGCTGACTATACTGAAAAAACGACAGAACATGAGACATTTTGTACCGAAGTTTGCAATTAATGGAAAGTTAAAAGACAAAGTTGTAAAAATGGGATTTTTGACAAATAAAACAGTTAATATAATATTTCATCTTGGCAGTTTATTCAAGGATTTGTATTTTTTCTTAGTCTTAATCCCCCGGTTATAAAATGTGTATGTCAAGTAAGCAGTGTGAATGAAGTGTGATGAGTGTACCCGAGGAAAGGGGCACTTCGGTCAGGTCGTAGATCTCCTCAGCCGAGTCTTTATCTTTCTTCTTCTTTTTCTCCTCGATAGGCCGAAGGAGCGAGAGCTCCTCGGGGTGACGGATATCTGTGTAGGCAACAGCGAGAAAATGGCACAAAAGTAATTAGCTTTATTAAACAGACGGACTATGTCTCAGCTTTAATAGTGACAGAAATGGAATGGTCCTTCGTCAAATTCTAGTTTTTTTATCAAATCTAAAACGGATATTGAATTAACGTCAACATTTTTTGATATTCATCAGTGTCCCCCATCCAGTCTTCACTTTTTTGGGAAAAAGATCTCACAGACTCTGTGGAGCAATGGTAGCGCGTCTGACTCCAGATCAGAAGGGTGCGTGTT